TGTAAGACCTAGAAAGAGAGTTTAGCTGATGAGTTCATGTAGAACAATGTGAAATCAATCTGGCCACAAACTGTAATAAGAGGAATGCATAATTTTTATACCAATAGTCCCAACTTCCCATTTCTCCAATCATGTGTATACAGTAACATTCACCAATAGTCAAAATAATATTAGAATCTATGATAAACAGGGAAAATGTATCTGATGCAATAGGTGAGTGCTTAGCTTCTGATTGACCTTCAAAAAATTCTTTCCAACAGAAATAGAAATTTTTTTGCTCAGAGCTTTACTGTCCACAGAAAACAAACACTACAGATGGCAACACAGCGCACACACATCAGTATGGGTAACAAATATACTTTCTACATCATACAGTGAATTCTACTTCTAGATATATGCAAATAAAGCATCTTATGCATTATGGTAGAATTGTACCTAATCATTACAATCTAGAATAGATGTTAATTTTTCATTTATTTCTCTGTTGAATTAGGACACTGCATTGATTTTAACAAGAAAGCCTCATTTGCACATAAAAATCCACATGGTAACCAAACAGTGTTAATTCCAGATAGTTGGGAGGCTAACGCAGAAGGATTGAAAGTTTATGGCAACATAGCCAGGCATGGTGGTCCTCCAGTTTAAAGCTCAACTATGGGCTGTATAGGGAGATGCTGTCTCAAAAAACTAAGATGATCTGGAAAACATCATAAAGCTTGTTAACAGCTCCTATGTCCTAAATAATCAACAAAGATACATAATATTTCATGTAACCCAGAAGACTCCCTGGGTCTCTTCCCAAGTAACAAGGCTGTTTACAGGTAATCATTACTCAAAAATTTTCAACAGTTTCATTTCTAATGGCAGAATCTAACATTTTACTGTCTAGTAACATTTAAACAAAATGCTTCCTTTTGATGTTTCCATAAGCATTATTGTTCTGTATTTATATTATCCTACCTACTTTTATACCTTCGTATGTGTTCACATCTTCTTTAAAGACTTCTAAAAGGCTGGGTGCCAATGGCTCACGCCTGTAATCCTAGCTACTCAGGAGGTTGAAATCTGAGGATCCCGGTTCAAAGCCAACCCAGGGAGGACAGTCTGTGAGACTCTTACCACCAATAAACCACTCAGAAAACCAGAAGTGGTGCTGTGACTCAAGTGGTAGAGCACTAGCCTTGAGCTGAAAAGCTGAGGGTCAGCGCCAAGGCCTAGAGTTCAAGCCTGAAGACCAACCCCCCCCCCCGCCACCCCTCAAAAAAGACTTCTAAAAACACCAAAAACTAGAACCAATCTGTCTCTATCATAATGGAAGGACAAACCGATTTGGTTTCACTTGCATTACATCAATGACTACAATGCCACACCAGTCATAACTGTCTAAGGTAAACTTATTTTCCCTAGAGAGGAATAACAGAAAAATTTTTTACCACCCACAAATTCAAGTCAGTATCTCTCCCCACATACCTCAAACTTGCAGGTGTGCATATAAACACAAACAGAAATTAGTAACTGGAAATCAATCTAATAAGAAAAATACCAAATACAATGGAATACCTTATAGTTACTACTACTACCAATATCAAAAATAATCAGCCAAAAATAGTGTTCAGAGTGTGGCAAAAAGTGGCAAAAGCACCAGCACAAGTGAAAAGCCTGGAGTTCAAACTCCAGTACTGTCCCAAACAACAACAAAAAATCCCATATAAAATAGTCTCAAAATGAAATACAACAGGTATCAATGCATAACAGATACATTTATATTTTCTTTTTGTGCCAACTGTGGGGCTTTTAAGTCTAGGCCTGGATGCTCTCCCTGAGCTTTTTCATTCAAGTCTGATGTTTCATTCCTTGAGCACACTTCCATTCCCAGCTTTTTACTAGTTAGCTGAAAAATAATTTAATGGACTTTCCTAACAATCCTCAGATCTCAAGAGCCCCTGACGTACTAGGCTAGGTGTGAGCCATTGGCACCAAGACCCAATGCAAAATACTTGAATATAGGTTGATCAGTAGTTAGGAACTCTGTAATTTCCAATTTCAGATGTATCTATTCAACTTCCTGTCCAGTTCAGTGTACAAAAAACCTAGCAAATTAAAGTTCATACAACAAATTAGAATAAGACTTTTTTATAGGACTTTCCCAATCAAGTCAGGAGACTGACAATATTGTACATAGTGACTCTAGAGCTCAAAGAATGTACTACAGCCTGATTTCATTTGAAAAACACACTTTGAATTTAATGAAAAGTTCATCTTAATCTGGGAATACAAAGGACAATTTCTATAAAATCATCTTGAAATTGTTCAATCAAGAAGGTAATTTTAAGCTCACAATTGTTAAGTGTAAGACCAATGAAGACTCAGTTTCAGATTGAGTGGTACAGATTCAGTAACTAGATTTTATATAAATTTTCTTTAGGGATCTGCCTCCATCACTTTATACTTAAATATTCATTTAAAATTTAAAAATTGGGGCTGGGAAGGTGGCTCAGTGGTGGAGTGCTTGCCTCACAAGCATGAGGCCCTGGGTTCAATTCCTCAGCACCACATAAGCAGAAAAAGCCAGAAATGGCGCTGTGGCTCAAGTGGTAGAGCGCTTGCCTTGAGCTGAAGAGCTGAGGGACAGTGCCCGGGCCCAGAGTTCAGGCCCCACAACCAACAACAACAAAAAAAAAAATTAAAATAATTGTTTGACAAGTACACTAATTCAAAGTAGACAGTGAGCAATATCTCTGGGCCCATTTCCATAGCAAGTTATCAGGAAGAACATTACATACTGTGGAAACTGAGCGAAGTCAAAGATTTTGATATAAACATTCAAAATATTCTTGAGAGTTTCCCCATTTATAAATCCCTACCACAGTTTTAACACGGGGACCCTTCAACCTCATTTTTATTACTTTAATAAAACGTGGCAAATATGAACTGTGTGACAATGAGCATTAAAAAAAAAAAATCAACCCTAAATTGGAAATGGCATCTATACTCAAGGATTATAGTACAGTCTAGCAGAAAAACTAGACTTGCAAATACTTCCAAGATACACAATTCAACACTGAAAGACTATCCAATAAAGCAAAAGCAATGTGAGAAAATGTATTTCAGGCCTAAGACCAAATCGAACTTTGAGAATCTCTCCCGTGATTTCAAACAACTACCCTGAGACATTACTTATTTTTGGCAGTATGAGATTGCCTCGAAAACAGATTAACTTTCTTCTCAAGGATGTGCTTAATACTTTGAACATCTCCACTAACTTAAAGCAGAGTTACATTTCTTTTTTCCGGTCCTGGGGCTTGAACTCAAGACCTGGGTGCTCTCCCTGAGCCTCTTTGTAATCAAAGCTGGTGCTCTACCACCTGAGCCTCAGCGCCACTACCATCTTTTTCTGAGTAGTTTATTGGAGATAAAAGTCTCATGGACTTTCCTACCTGGGTTGTCTTCGAACCGCAATACTCAAGATCTCAGCCTCCTGAGAAGTCAGGATTACAGGCATGAGCCACTGGCGTCCAGCTTCACAGTTACAATTTTTATCTGACTTAAAAACTCAGGAATCTGGGGGTGGGAAGGTGGCTCAGTGGTAGAGCGCTTGCCTTGCAAGCATGAGGCCCTGGGTTCGATTCCTCAGCACCACATAAGCAAAAAGAAAAAAAGCCGGAAGTGGCGCTGTGGCTCAAGTGGTAGAGTGCTAG